TCACGTAAATACTGAGTGATGTGAGACAAAAAACCCATGCTGGTTCTAAATTCTTCACATTATTAATCATATGTTTATTGAAAACCAGTAAATTTTTAAGATGTTGTTTTTATAAATGAAGGTTACATTGGATTATTTAACAGATCACTGAAGAACAATGAATATTTTTGGCATGAGATTATGATACTTATGAAAACAGCTCTTTCTTTTTATCTCATGGTGTTCTTTGTTAAATGAAACAATTACTGTAGTTTTTTCTGGATCTTTGTGGCATTAGGATTATTATTATAATCTGTATTTGGTTCATAACCAGAATAACCTTTAAAGAAAGTATTCAGTTTAATGGTTACATTTTTATAACTAACTTCTCTGTGTTAACTATTTCTTCAGCTTAAAGCTCAAAATGATCGAGAAACACAAAGTATGGATATCATATTTACTGAAAGACAAGCGTAAGTTTATTCTATTTAAAATCAGATTTATAAATGAGTTTACTATGTAGTTTAACTAGTGAGTTATTTATTTCCTTATAGAAGTTTTAACTTTTTTTCTATTGCCTTTTTAAATTAAAAATAAATATTTGCAATGGAAGTTTTATTTTTGTACATGTTATCTTCATTAACCACTAAATTACAAACTTCTGTATGAAGAAAATGACTATATAGATTATATATAAACAATTTCTGCTTCTAAGAACCTAAAATTAATTTGAGATAAGAATTTTATTATATCTTCCATTTATAATTTTAACCTAGAATATTAATTAGATTATGATATTTTAACCCCAGTTCAACTAAAAATTCATTAGTAGACTATTTAAATTTTTATTAGCATTGTTGATAATTATATTAGTATTCTATATTATATTTGTAGGTTATCTGTGTCTTTATAACCTATCTAAAGACTAAATACTAGCTAGCTTTGACTTTGTTATTAACTGTGACAGTGACAGTAACACATACAAAGATAATGAGTAGACATGATGTAATTATTTTTCATGAAATTTTGGGCCCTAATTAGATTCTTTATATTACAACACAAACATAAAAGATGAGCTATTTTTGTATAAACACACATATAAGCTCATTCTGGACCCAAAATGTATTAATATAAATCTGTTTGAGAGCAAGGATAATTACTAACAAAAATCATGAAATTCAGTAATAACAAATACACTGTCATGTTACTTCTGCATAAACAGTAAATATTTCATGACAGAATACTGAAATACAGTAATAAAACATTTGAAAGGTAACTATGATTTTTTATTGATTAAAACAAAAGTTTCTTTTTCTCCTATCACTTGATGCTATTGTGAAGTACTTTTTTTTTTTTTTTTTTTGTACTAGAGATTGAACCCAGGGATGCTTAACCAGTGAGCCACATCCCCAGTCCTGATAGCTATTTATTTATCTATTTGATAGCTATTTATTTATTTATTTCGTATCAGGGATTGAACCCAGGAACATTTAACTACCAAGCCACATCCCAGCCCTTTTTATTTTTATTGGAAACAGGATCTTGTTAAGTTGCTTAGGGTCTTGCTAAGTTGTTGAGCCTGGCTTTGAACTTGTGATCCTCCTTTTTCAGCCTCATTTGCCTCTGGGATTATAGGCTTGTACCACTTTACCTGGCTTGTAAAGTGCTTTCTAAGAAATTGAAAATATTGGCAGTTTCTTTTCTTACGCAAAGACCTATTTTTTTGAAACCAAATTCTTACTTGAAATCTTCCTCCCTCCCTCTTTTTTTTTTTTTTTTTTTTTTTTGCTTCTCTCCCTCTTTCTATCTGTTACCCTGGTTTGAAACCATTTATCAAATATTTATCCTAAGTTTACCAAAAAAAAAAAAACCTTAAAAAAATATAAAAACCTTAAAGAATTTAGAACATTTGAGTCCCCATTTATCCCATTATCTGAAAAGTTATATAATACCTCAATCAGATATATCAATATTATAACTAAATGTTTTGCAGATTTTTATCCGGGAATATATTCCCAGATTTAAGTTTAAAAATACCACAGTTTTAATGTGTTTGGTTCATTTGATTAAAGAAAAAAAATTTTAAATATCATAATTTGTCCTGAGATGTCACCAGTTTCAAAATTATATTTACAGTTTGCATTTAAGGTTAAAGTAAAATAGATTCTTTTCTCTTTTAAGCAGAAATTTAAATTAAAGGAAAATCTATTTATATGAAGTTTACTTTCATATGCACTGAGGATATATTTATTTCTTGTGTTAACAAGATGTAAAACATCTCAATAACCTAAGAATCTGCCTTGACTCTGCACATTCAGAGAGACCAGGAAATGGCAGATTTCCTATTTGTACCATCATTTAGTGTGGCATGAAAATCTGGTTCATTATGGGAAACTTATCCATAACAAGCCGGTTATTCTTGTACATGCTTAAACTAATGATTCTCTTCCAATTCTAATGTCTACATTTCCTAGTTTGGGATTAGTCAAAATCATTTGCTCTTTAAAACATATGTAACTATAATTTTACACCCATTTATTTTTCTTTATTTAGTTAGATATTTATTGAATACGTAAAATATAATGATAAAAGATTCTTGGATTTTAGAGATTAGATACAACCTTTGTTCATTTGTAATTATATTTTATTTTATTGTGTTTCTCAGATATTAATAATTGCACCTTATAGTTAGCAAAGATAAGATAGAATGATAGCTTATTTAGGAAAAAGATGCGTTGTATCCCTGTAATTATCTCATTCTTAAAATTGAAGTTTAAGGCAATGGATAACATATATTAGACAAAATGTTCATATTCTTTATTGAAAATATGCTTCTATAAACACAAGCAAATATGTATTATAAACTTTCAGTTCTTCTATTTCAAAGGATATATCATCATAAACAGATTTTATTTCCCCAGAGTAGATATTTTCCTCAAAGTAGAATTTGATATGTATATAGCTTTTAAAATGACTATTTTACAGATCATGACAAGATGTACATTTGTAGTCTCTTTTTTCTAAGGAATTATCAAGTACATACACATTTAAAAAACTTTATTATAGAGAAATTTGAACATACACAAAAATAGTATACCTTTATGTACCCATCTCCTAGCTCTTTCAGCATATAAATAACCCTGTTCATCCACAGCTTTCGCTTTACATTTATTATGATGAGGAAAATCCACATTTCATCCATAAGTATATTTCAGTGTTTCAGAGATCTTTATCTTTTAAGATAACAGATAAATACACTAATTTCTATGTGTGGAATATTAAAATTACAGATTTTACTACAGTTTTTAACATCAGTTAGCATCAATGAGTTGTTAAAATTATATTTGCAGCCGGTTGATTATAAGGAAATTGACAATAATGACTTTAGATGAACTCTTCCTTTACAGTCTTAGGGCTAGTGTTTTGCAGAGTATGTTCTTTGGACTATTATTGTGCTATGAGCTCTTAGTAGTTGTACCAAGTAAATAAATTTGAAAAATTCTTAATATGTTTCTCTTGAATAATGAGAAAGCAGTTTAGCTTAGTAAAGTCTCAGATAAGTTCTATATTATATATCAAGGGATCTTGTTTCACTTCTTTTAAACACAGTGTTTTCTATAGTAATTTGACCATGCACCCTTTAAATTTTCTCTTTTCTTTTTATATTTATTTATTTATGTGTGTGTGTGTGTGTGTGTGAGAGAGAGAGAGAGAGAGAGAAAGACAGACAGACAGACACATACACACAGGGGATTGAACCCAGGACATCATCCATGCTAAGCAAGTGCTCTACTACTGAGCTGTATGTATCCCAATTATTTTTAATTTTTTATTTATTTTATACAGAGATTGAACCCAGGGGTGCTGAACCACTAAGCCTCATCCCCACCTCGTTTTATTTTTTATTTTGAGACGGATTTTTTGCTAAGTTGCTTAGGACCTCACTAAATTGCTAAGGCTTTCAGTGAACTTGTTATCCTCCTGCCTCTGTCTTCTGAACTGCTGGAATAACAGTTGTGCACCACCCCCGACCCAGCCATTTTTTAAAATTTTATTTTGACAAAGGGTCTTGCTGAGTTGCCCAGGCTACCTTGAATACAGTCGTCTTATCTCAGCCTCCCAAGTAGCCAGGATTACAGGTGTGCCACTGCTTGGCCCATGTACCTTTTTCTTATCCTATAAATACTTCCGAATGTCTCTCTGGAGGTTAGTGTTCTAGAAAACAATTTGAGAAACATTGCTCCATGTTATCAGCTACCCATGGACCAACTAAAGATTCCTTAGTCCCAGCACAGATTCATTCGAATAATCTCCCAGAGAGAGGCAGAAATGTGTGTTTTTATAAATAGAATTCATAAATAATTGTGATGCCCACTTGAGAAGCCACCATGGTACTAAATTGTGCCAATTTGGTGGTAGCCTTTTTTTCTGATTGAAATCGGTAGTAATCATTAAGGATTATACCTGAACACTGTGCCTTGTGCTTAAGTTTCTACTAAGTTTTGAGTAAATATGTTTTTCTAATTCAGGAACCATTAACATAAAATATTTTTCAATACCATGAAATTAGTCTGTGAGCATAGAACTAATCTTAGTGTGTAGTCGAAGTTCTCTGTTCTTTAACTCATGACATAAATCTAAAATATTTTATTTTTTTAATGACTGGGACTTTAGTATAATTTAATATGTCCTATATCACAAATATGTGTTATTGTGAGAATATATTCATTTATTTAATGAATAATACACTAGCTGCCTTTTTACTTGTTCTAAGTACTGCTGAGATTAATAATGCTAGCATTGTAGATTAACTAATTGTGTAACTGTTAGCTCTAAGAGTGTCAGTTACTTCATTTGGTCCCCCTTGCTCAATAAGAAAAACATTTTTATGATATTTGTGTATATGATATTAATTAAGACGAAGATCTACTAGCTCCAATTTGGTATGTTTTACATATCCAAGTCTCCACATCTAAACTGTGAGTGGTCTGATATTTTATCAGCAGTCAAACATTTTAAAATTAATTTTCTTCACATAGTTCATGGGTATCTATATACTTATCTTCAATAAAACCATCATCTTCTGCCACAAATGAATGTAACTGTTCAAATATTACTGTAGTGTCTTCAGAGTTTATATCTCCTATCTGTGGAAGAGAATTTGAATTTCCAGGAAAACCATCTTCGTAGGTTTCTGCCTCATGCTCTTCTAGGCGACGATGATTGTAACTAAGCAGAAAATTATACCATATTGGGCATTTGATAGCAGTTAAGATGAGGAGTGAAGTCATAAGTGCAGTGACAACAACACCAACAAGAAAAACCCAACTTTTTCCAAGAGGTTCATGTTCTTAAATGGAAGAGAAAGAGATTTGGTTAAGTTGATGAAAAAGATATGTAATATTCCTATTACTCTCCAATGTTGGTACACAAAAGTTACTAGTTACTAAATAAAAGATATTTTATAGTATGGTGAAATAATACCTTTTCCTAAAATAATTACAGTTTGGGCATCCTTAATCTGAAAATCCAAAATGCTCAAAATTCCTTAAATGGAAAATTTCCCATCTGACTTAATGTGACACATTAGTCAAAGCACAGGTGCATTAAAAATATTGTTTAAAATTATCTTTAGGATATATGTATAAGGTGTTTTTGAAACAAATGTATTTCATATTTACACTTGGCTTCTATCTCATTATGTATATGCACATATTTCAAAATTTAAAAAAAAATTCAAAATTCAGAACACTTCTGGTACTGAGTATTTTGGATAAAGGATACTCATTCCTTGCCCACTTGTCTTTGCAGGTATTGCTACTCATTCACATAAGACAAGTATTGATTTGCATACATTAAAAAATTATAATTTGCCTCAAATAAGTGAAATAATCAACTGTGGTATCTGGGTGATAAGTAAGAGAGCCTACATTGAATTCTAGTACTTTGTAAATCTTTCATTGAGATGAGGAAATGTTCTTTTACATTGTTGATAGAAATTCAAAATAAAGAAATAAAGAAAGACTGTTTATTTTTTATAACACCTCCAGCAATATTAATATTAAAAACCAATACATTACCTGAATTTCTTGTGAAATTGTTTAAAGAACTATTAAAAGTTGAATTGCTAATGGACTGAAAATGAACATAAAGATCTTCAGTTATAGATGAAGCAAACTTTGAGTAGCATTCAGCCATATAGGGTACTGTTTTGATATTGTAGCACTTCAGGCTGTGTGGATAGCTACACATGGTGATGTTCTCATTTTCTGGTAAATAAGAGTGAATAAATTAAGGCTTATTATAGAGAATAAGAATGGTTAGCAACATTTATAATTATCTATATTTTTGACATGTCTATCATTATTAAGGATGTTATAACGAGGTCTTGATGTGTTTGCGTAGTAACACAATGAGGGGTGATACACATTCCCATTACTTTATAAAAACAGTTTAAATGCATTAACTATTTATATATTTTAGTCTGTGTTTATAAAGATTTTATGATTATGATAGTGGCTACAGTCTGGATCTCAAGCAGTGTTTGGTTTGCAGTTAACAAAGTAAGACACCTTTTTTTTTTAACCTACTCTACAACAAGATATCTAATAATAAACAGGAAGTACTTAAAGAAAAAAAAATTGGTCTTATGTATTGTCTCTGCAAGCCCAATACATTTAAATTTCTTTATAGTCAGGGGGTGGGGCATGGAGAGTAACTCTTTAGAGATGGTTTTTTGGGGATTTTTTCCTTCTTGCACAGCACTGGCAATCAAACCCAGGACCTCATGCTTGCAAGGCAGGTACTCCACCACTAAGCTACATCCCAAATCCCCAGCTATTTAAATATTTTTTTCCTGCTTTCCTTTAACAGAAATTTTATTTCTTGACTTTTTGGCAGTGCTGGGATCTATTCTGGAGCCTTGCAAAATGCTACAACTTTAGCCCAATAGATAGTTTTTCTTTCTTTTTTTCTTGTCAGTATTGATTATTGAACCCAAGAGTACTCCACTGCAGAGCCACATTTCCATCCTTTTCTAAATTTTAATTTTTAGGCAGTGACGAAGTTGCCCAACTGGCCTCAAACTTTCGATCCTCCTATCTAAACTTCTCTAGTTGCTGGAAGGCATTACCACACTCAGCTGGATTTTTTTGTTGGTTGTTTGTTTAAACATGAAAAATATTTTTCTAGGGCAAAATGCCAAAAGTTAATCACATTTTAATTTTAATTAAATGATGATACCTTACCTAGTATCACATTTGATGTTTTCAACCAGTTCTGCAAATTGAATAAACTACAAGTGCAGTTCCATGGATTTCCATATAAAATTATTAATTCCAGATGAAATAGTTGTGGTACATCAAAGTAGCTTATCAAATTTCCTTGCAGATTCAGAAGTTTCAGGTTGTTTAGCGGCATAAACATGTCAGGATTTAGTTGTAATATTTTGTTTTGGCAGAGATGTAATTGTTTTAGTTTATTTAGGCCTACAAATGCATCCTGTTGAATAACATAAATGGAGTTTCTACATATATTTAAGATTTCTAGATTGGAGAGGTTACTGAAACTACTATTATGTAAGATAGTGATATTGTTCTGAATCAAATAGAGCTCAGTAAGTAAAAAATACTTCTGTAGCACCCTTGTGTCTGTAACATTCAAAGTAATTTTGTTATAACTGAGATCAAGGATAGTAACATTATTATTGATACCCACTGGAATCAAAGAATAATCCTTTTCAGTGAAATTACATTTGACTTCCTAAAAAAGAAAAAAAATTAGAAATTTTATTAATCAGGAAAAAATAATATAATTTCTCAAAATTTCATATTCATGCACTTTGATGTTGGAAGGAAATCATTTTGGAAAAAATATCTCTCATCTTTAGGCATTGTAATGTGGAAAAGTGAGTGTTTTTAATGATGAAATGGGGAAGATCAGGGAAATTCTAATAGAATAAGTAAGTAAATGCTTGTAGTATGTTATACAGATATCTTCCAACTGTAATTAATGTAATCATTACAGAGAGAAAGAATATTGATATATTGCTGTTTTATGTGTAGAAATATTACATAATTTGGTTAACTTAATATTTTAACATGCAAGTTAGGCATTTCTAGGGGAATTATTTAAAATGTATAATTTTTTAAAATCAGTGGAGATAACAACACATAGCTAGGGCTCTTAAATAATTAAAAAATAATACCCAATTCAAGCTTTGTTGGGCCAATAGCTAAAAGTTTCATATTTTAAAAGGAAATATTTTGTCTTATATCAGAAATTGAGCATCTGTGAGTAAATTTAATGAGCCACACAACCTGAAGTGCTTTCCTTCTGTGGATATAGATACAAAGGAATAGTATTGTTTTGCCTGTCTTTGCAGTTGAAATTTCCTCTATAATTTTAAGCTGTGGTTTTTATGTCTTGGAACTAATCTCAGATTTTATAGTGAAAATTTACAGATTTCTTCTTTCATCAACTTTTAAAGAACTCAATTTAAAAACAAAGTAAAGATTACCTTTGTCAAGTTAGGATGACTCAGATCACAGATTTGAATATATACAAATAACTAAAGAATAGTTTAGGGATCAGATTTTGTGGTGGTGGTGTTTGCCTTTAGATATTTTAGACATTTCTCTTGATTATAAAAACTTACTATTTTAGAAGTCTGGCTTTTGTCCGATAATAATAGCATGGAGAAGGGCCAAAACAAGACTGTGATGCATGTGAATTTCATATTGCAGGCCTGAGAGAAGAGAGTATTTCATCTCAGTAAATACAAGAACTGTAAAGATTATTGAGAACATATGGATTTTTTTTTCTTTTAAATCTCTTTTTTCTTAAGATACATAGAATAAGAAACAAGTTCATTGCTATTCCCCATCCCTGCACTCTGATCTTAACAAAAGCTCCTGTGGAGAATGACAATATTTTCTAAGTTGTCTCATGAGATCTTTTGAAAGAAACTTTAAAGTACATTTAAATTTTTACTAAATATGTAAAAAAAGAAAGTCCAGAAGAATGTATATTTATGTGTATATGTGTGCTTGATTATATTCATGTATTGCTAATTCTTGAATTTTCAATTTTAGGTGTTATTTGTTGGTGTTAATCCATTGGCTTATATCTAACTGTGGGAGGTGAAAATCTTTAGCTTTCTTTCAAATACTCTCTATCCTACTCTTAAATACATCATTGACTTCCAAATATAGTCACTTGTAATTTTAGATGGCTATTCAGCATTTATGTTATCACAAGTACATATAAGTTATCAGTGATGAGCCACGTAAGAGGATTACTTTCCCATTGCTACATGGTTTTTTTACTCTAAATTAATCAGACTGGTTTTTTTTCTTTTTTAAATGAATTTATGTTCACACTCTCTCATGGCAATTCTCTAGTTAATGCATTTTAGATATTTAATCTCTTTCATTTGCTTACAAGAGCTACCATGCTTTAAGCTAGAGAAACTGATCAATGGGCCTTCTTTCTACATGGTTGTTGACTTCTGCCCTTATCACAGAAATTCTCTTTTGCCTGCTTTATTGGATTCCTGTTTTTCTAGAATGCCCTTTTTTTTTTGGCTTATTACCTCATTTCAGTGGTGCTTCATAACTTCTGGAAAAAGTACATAGGATGGAAAAATTTTTTTTGGACCTTGAAAGATACTTTGGCTAGAAATTGAATCTAGATGGGAAATAATTTTTCCTGAAAATGTTGATTTTCTTGCCCCATTGTCTTTTGAGTTTCAGTTGTTACCTTATTTTACTTATTTATCCTTTTAATGTACCTTGCCTCTTCCTAACCCTCAAAGCTTCTAAAATCAGTATTCTGGAATTCATGATTCTGTGTCTTTGTGACAGTCTAATTTCATCAGTTAAACTGGGTACTTGATTGTTACTTTGAATCTGGAAGCTGTATTTCTAATTTCTGGGAATTTTTCCATTAATAATGTTGACAATACTCTTCATCACTTTTTTTTTTTTCCTCCAAGTCCTGCTTCTCTATGGAGAACTACCTTATTATGTATTAAACCTTCTGGAATGATTTTCTTTCTACTCTCCTATATTACATCTCTTATGTTTTGAAGCATCCTCAATTTTTATTCTCAAATTCTGTTAAAGATTGCTATTTCCTGTCTTCTTTTTAATTTTAAGAACTTTTGTTCTCTCAATATTTTCTGCAGCAGTATCTGTTGAGTTTCTTGCCTTTATTATTGTTTTGTGTATGTGTGCCTTTTGTTGTCTTTTCCCTTAAATAGAATATGTGTCCCCAAGCTATACTTTCCCAGTTTTTTGGAGGCTTTGTTCATATGTTAATATTTTGTTGTGAGGTTATGTAGAAGAGTGAGGAACTGAAAAGCTGATTGGAATTAGCATTTCAGAGTGAACTTGCTTGACTGTTTTCTTAAGGAATCCATAAATGTCATTAATTTTAGATTTTTTTTAAAGATTCTTTTAGAACAAAGGTTTTTGGTTTTTTTTGGTAGGATGATTGAACCCAGAGCCTTGCACGTACTAAGCAAGTTGAACCTAGCCCCTCCTCTACTTTCAGAATACCTGGTGCTGCCATTTCTGGACCATTCAAAGTTCTTGCAGAATATAAATCAAGTGGCTTTTCAGTGTTTTTCCATTTGCTGACTTGGGAAAATTTTGCTTTCCCAGTCAATTTCTATTCATCTATTAACTTTGTGCTTTGTAAGTTTTATTGTTATTGTACCCTCTGTTATTTGTGTCATTGTGAATTTAATACTCCTTTTAACCTTTTATTTATTTTTTCCAAGTTTTGGGCAGGAGTTGTGTTATTGGCTGCATTTCTTATGCTATTTTTTACCAAAAATTGCCATTTGTTGCAGAATGCTATTCTTATTAAATCATTAACTTTCCATTTAATCATTTTATTCATGATCTTTGTTTCTCATTCTGTTTTCTCAAAGTTGACACTGGAAATCCTTCTGCAAACAAATTTTCTGATTTGAAAGGGTATGAATACATCCTGTCATTAGGGGTCTTTTAAAGTTTAGTCTTTTAAGCCTTCTTAGAGCATTTGTAACAGTTAAGATGCTTCCAGGAGAATATTTCAACAAACCTGGAATTAGAAAAACTAATCTTCATGAGAAGATTCTTTTCAAATTACTAAAGTTTGTTCTCATTAGCAATAGGAATTTATTATTTCAGTGCTAGTCTATTGTAGTCAACGTACTCATTGCCTTCAGTTCATTGATTTGTTTAACCTTATTCCCCATCTACTCTCTCTTTGCATAGTTAAATTTGTTAGAAAAAGCTATTTGGCCTCCTAGATTTGATGCAACTCAAATATAGATAATAATAGAACCGTTTTTAGAGCCAGAAATGAGTTTAAGCTATCACTATTCCTGTCCATTGACCATAAAGGGAGATGCCTAAATTTAAATTTACAAAATATATTTTATGTGTGTTTAATGATCTCTATGGATAGTTACACATCCTCTTCAATGGTTTGTTGCAGTATTTCTCAGTGGTGTGGTAAAGTTCTTACTGAAGTTTCTGGTGGAACGGAGAGATGAGTAAGGGAGAAGTGCTGTTTTTCAGATATATATAGTAGATAGGGGTGATTAAAGGAAGCAAATAGACTACAAAGAAAACTGAATTTAAGGACTTGATGTGGAATAGAAGCAGGTGAAGAAGGAAATAAAGGAAGGTAGGACTGTGAGCGTACATGGAAATGTAAATAGGACAGTCTTAAATTTATTTGCTGTGTTTATTATCTTTTTAATAATAATTGTTTTCTCTAGTGTGCTAAAAAATAAAATTACAAGACTTAGAAAAAGAAATGTTTTCACTGGCACAATGGCACTTATCTGTAATCCCAGTGACTTGGGAGGTAGAGGCAGGAGGATTGCAAGTTTGAGGCTAGCCTCAGCAATTTAACAAGGCCTTAAGCAACTTAGCAAGACCCTGTCTCAAAATAAAAAATAAAAATGGCTGTGGGTGTAGCTCAGGGGCAAAGCACCCCTGGGTTCAATCCCTAGTACAAATAAAGAAAAAGTAAATGTTTTCCTTCCTCTTGATAAATTCTAGACTTAAAAACAGCATATGCTCAGTTCAAGGTTCTGTACAAGGAAACATTCAACAAATCTAAAGCATTATTAGATCTAAAGTTGTGAAATACACTGAGCCACATATCTGTGTGCCTTTTGAGAGCGGGAAAAATTTTAGAGACAGAGTGACTATTGATCATCACGACACTGAAAGGCAGTATTGCTGTCTGCCTTTAAGAAATCATCTCCGCAGAGTGGCAAGTCAGAAGATTATGAAGAAATTGTTCATGAGTCAATGTACACTTTCAAAAAGTTGATTTAAAAAGAAAACAGTTATTTTCTGTTTTTCTTCTTTTGGAATTTTTCTTCTCATTTTGAAATATTATTTTGAGTTTTATGTAATGATTATTTAGAACTAATAAAAATAGAAACCAAGTAGAATATCAGTTTTTAAAATTATTTCATAAAATTAAGAGCCCTTTTACATAGCTTACAATGTACACTTCACATAAAAAAAAAAAAGAGCTTTAGACAGGAAATGATAAGTTATAAAAAAAGAAGTCATATTCTTAATGAGGTTTAAAGTACAAGTTCAGGGATTTTGTTATTGATGTGTTACTATATGCCATGAAATAAATGGATGTTACAATTATATAGGTTAAATGAAATCCATACATAATTTTCTCATTACCTGCTTTAATTATTTGTGCCAGAATTCAGTGTATTTGGAGTAAGATGGTAATGATTGATGGTTAACTTTATTCCTGTCCTTACCAGTTTTATAGATTATTTTTGTTTGTTCTTGGTTTTGTGTATATGAGTGCAAATTTAAAAACTTGAAATGGAAAACTTTAAGGAAAAAAAACACAAGTAAGGATAATAATTGTTTCCCAGTTTCAATAGTTTCTATTAGCGGTTCTTTTCCTCTCGCACATTTGTTTTTCAGTTAAATGCTCCATTAATATTATATTTCAAAATAAAAAGTTTATGAATTTGAGTGGATAGATTTAACCTTTTGTTCTTCAAAGAAAAAATAGTTACTTTATATTTCATTATAATTTTATTTGGGAAAGATTTCTTGGTTGTGTTTTAGGTTTATATTATTTTTGAGGTAGACTATGTGAAAATATAATCACATTTTCTGCTCTTTCATTACTTATTAAAGGCAATGATTGTTGTACAGATTTAACACAGTTAATTTTTAAAATTCAGCAACAACCAAACCTATAAATATATATCATCTTACCTTTACTTTTTCCTTTTGTCTCTGAGACTGGTGTGCTGAAGAAATTTATTCGGTTTCTTCTACACCATTAGAGCTGGGCACAGAGGAGCTCACATAGAAAAAAGTATGTCATATGATTTCACTTTGTCTTAACCTTTGTACCCAGTGAATAAGTGATTAAAAAAAAAAAAAGCTGAACTTCCTTAGCAAAAGATTGACTAGAAGAAAAATTTCTTCTTTGACTTTTTCAGTGCAACAAGGAAGGGGCTTGCTTAACCTTTTTTTGTTTTTTGGGTACCAGGGTTGAACTCATGGACACTCGACCGTTGAGCCACATCCCCAGCCCTATTTTTTTTTTTTGTATTTTATTTAGAGATAGGGTTGAGACAGGATGACTGCACATTCAAAGTCAGCCTCACCGCACTAAGCAACAATTATGTTTCTTACTCTTCAAAATGTTATCAAAATATTGACAAATTGACAATTTAACTTT